GCTGACGAGGAAACTGCAGAAGAAGAGAGCTACGTCCCAGCCACGGAGCAAGCATTCGTTATTTTGGATACAGGGCCTTTGGGGACTGTACAGAGCTCTTCTCCCTTGAGTATGCATGGAGCAAGCAGGAAGCATGGCGGTATCCCTATGCTGCCGACAATGCCTTTGAAGGCTGTATCAAACTCACCATCTCTAAGTGGCTCCACCGCATCCCACCTAAGGACAGTGACTGGATTGCCCCTTGTAGCTGACAGAGTTGAATGAACGCCTAGCAACAACTAATAGAGTAGTGTCAGGCCTGAGTGAGCATGGACGGTCACCCAAGTAGCTGTCCCTCTGCACTGCGAGGCTCAAACCCCCAGTAGCTAGTACAGGCACAGGGAATAATACTGCCATGCACTGTGACATGGAGTCGCAAACGAGCTCACTAGTCAGCAATGAGCGCCAACTTGTGGTCCATCTCCAGTTAACTTCTCTCTCAGGAGAATACCAAGTCATTGTCGACCTCCAAGAGTTTGATCGACTTGATGAGTTTGAAACCGCTGTCCTGGAGCAACTCCCGACCATAGGAGGAAACAGCACATTTGGTTGCGAACTCACTTTCGTTCGACGGGATACCGGGCAGCTCCTGCGAAATCCGGTATGGGACACCCTCAGAGACTGCAACCGCTTCCATATTGTCGTCCGCCAATGCTGTACTCGTGCAGAGCATAAAGGCCAGATGAGGAAGAACGCAAAAGCAATCCGAGTACCTGTCACCCGTTCAGGGCAGGTGCTCGAGTGATATCAGGCACCTACAAGTCGAAGCGGGCATACACACCATTGGGGAAGCGGCCTGGCAGCATTGCACTAGGCTTCTCATAGTGCACCTGCCCAGTTCACTACTATGCCTGAAAGATGGAGCCTTCCGATGTTGTTATGTGCTCCACACAGTCACTGCTCCGGGGTGCACAGACTTCGGATGCTGGGCTTTCGAGGAGTGCCATGCGCTGGCCTGGGTTGGAGACCCAGACCAAAGTAGCAACCAACTGGCACCGCAGGCGAGGCTCAATGTCCGAGCCTTCGAGAAATGCCGTACCTTGCGGACAATTGGCCTGGAAAGGGCTGAGACCCGAATCGGGTCATTCCAGAAGGCTGCTTCCTTGGGACAGGGCTGGAAATGATTGCTCTCCCAGCTGATTTCTGCTGGATAGGACCAGCTGCCTTTGAACACTGTACAGGGGAGGCCCACTTTGGCGACCCCGGGCTCCACAGCGCTTTTCAACCTCGTTTTTGGGGCCGCCAAATTCACGGCCGCAACTGCTGCAGCTCACCGTACGACTTGGAAACAGCTGCGGGCTAAAATTCTAAACCCAAGCCCTGTGGGTTCAAAAAACGCAACAACCAATCCACTTTCAATTGGGGCTCCTTTAAAAGTATTATAAGGTCCCGGGTCCCCGTTCGGCCTCGTCGGCCTCGTTCAGCGTGGAGAGGATGAAAAATGGCCTGTCTTTGGAGGCCTCGCTCGGCCTCGTCACGCGCGCAGTCGGCCTCGTCCAGCGTGGAGAGGAGGTGGCAACAAGGCCTCGTCCGGCCTCGTCATCGGTGTAACAGACCTCGTCCAGCGTGGAGCGGACATGAAATCAGGTCTTGCTCGACCATTGG